CCCGGAAAGGATCCCGAAAACATTTCTTTGTTTGATTATGTTGTTTTTTATTTATTTGTTTTGGAAAAGGTGATAAAAAATTTTTTGGATATGCGATGCCGTAATCGGTCTTATAAATAATTTTTTTGAGTCGTCACCCGACCCCATTTTTCGGCAATGGGACCGTTCCAATTTTTATTTTTTATTAAATGACTCATTTAACCCATTTTTAAGCCTAATTCTTTGAAGAAACTGGTCAGGGGCCGTACCAGTACGATTCTAGTAAGGGAATTAAGGTACGGTCGGTCCGTTTTGGACAGCCGACGCCCCGGAAAACCGGCCCTCTTTTACCTACAATTTTCTAATTGACTTTTATTTTAGAAAAGCCAATTAATTTAACTAACCCAACCCCGAATAAATCGAAACCGAGTTCCCTATGTGGAAAATTAATTAATCATTCCAACTAGATTCATTCATTGGCATTCATCAATAAATTAATCATCACATCCACCATTTCATCCATAAACGTATCAAATAAATTAAAAGGACCCGCTCTTGCTTTATGGTTAAAGGCGGGCCACAACCGAGTTTTAATTAATATAATCACATAATAAACAATAAATATAAATCGCCCCAAAATCTTATAATCACACAATAAATTAATCGATTTGGTTTGATTAAAAGCTTAATTTGCCGCATTATTGTCATTTTTCCAGATTAAGATTAAATATAACTTAATGACATGAAATTAAGACAACAATAAGAAAAGTATTCTGGAACTTGAAGACAGTCGCATAACGCAGCTTGTTCTAATGAAGAACGTCGCGTGACGGAGCTCATTGGTCATTTATTCCTGGAACTTTAAAAGAGCAGTTGCGTGCACGCAGATGTTCTAATGAAAGAACAGTGCAGCAATGACGGAGCCCTTGTCATTTATTCTGGAACTTAGAATAGGTTGCGTCACGCAGACTGTTCTATGAAAGAACAGTCGCGTGACGGAGCTCTTGTCATTTATATATTCTGGAACTTAGAATAGTTTGTGTCACGCAGCTGTTCTATGAAGAACGGTCGCGTGACGGAACTTCTGGTTATTGTCGCTGGAGATTAGAATAGTTGCGTCACGAGCGACTGTTCTATGAAGCACAGTCGCGTGACGGAACTTAGCTACGTGAGGAACTGTTCGTGACTTTATTAAAATCTCGGTATATTTTGATTATTTATTCAAAGCAAAATATTAATACCAAATACAAAAAAAAATAAGAAACTGAGTAGCACGAACAGCTGCGTGCACGCGGGTGGTCCAGTCCAGATTAAAGGGGCTTTTTGGAACATGAACAGGTCGCGTCAATGCAGGTATAGCTTGCGTGACGCGGCTGCTCTGGTCCGCAACTACCAACTACCTTTCAAACTACTCTTTTTACGTGTTCTTTTTGTCAAAAATGATTAAACTCAACTCAGAAAAGTCCAACAATGGGCAAAATTATGTCTAACTAGTAACAGACCAACTAAATACTATGAAAATAAGATTTTTAAGTAATAAAAGACTAGAAATGAAAAAGAAAGGTTAAAATGGTTACCTAGACCTCAGATTTGAGGATTGCATGCACTTTGATTAGCTCAGGAACACAGCCTCACGATCCCAGAAGCGTAGTTATCACGTTTTTCACAGAACAAAGTGTTTTTCTCTTTCTTTCTTTTCTCTCTTTTTCTCTTCTTATATTTTTTATGCTTTTTGATTTCAAAACTAATCTTATATTTTTTATTTTTATGCTTTTTGATTTCAAAAAACTAACTGTTAAGGGCTTGATCTTCCTCAAGTTTACTCACTTGAGTTTTTGGGGAAGAAACCCTAGCCGTTTTTTTTTATCGAAAACTTAAAGTCTTAGAATTCTTAGAGAAAAATAAGAGAAAGTGTCAAAAAGGTCCCGTTTTTACTGTAAAATGTGGTATTTATATGGTAGGGCAACATGCCAGTCGCGTCACGCGGGTATAAGCTGCGTGACGCACCCGTAAACCTGCGTGACACGACTTACTTTTCGTACAGTTGCAGCGTATCCATACAACAGTGCAGGCCCGGTTTTTTGCACGGGCGTCGGCCAGAGGGTGTCAGCCTCGTTAAGAGTTTGCGTGACGCAACTAAGAGTGAGTGCCGTCACGCAGGTAATAGCTGCGTGACGCAACCCTAACGCGGGTCAGACTCCTTTGGGCCGGTTCGATTCAGATTTTGGTTCAAATACTCCTGGTTGATCGTGATACCTTATCCCTTATCCTCATATCATCACTGGGTCAGGTGGGGGCATAAAATTACGCATCAACAATAAACGAAGATGAAGATGAATAATAAGCAACTTCCATCTTGAAAACTTGGGATTCAATGCTCTGATACCATATCACAAGTTTAGAGAAAAGGAAACAGAAAAAAAAAAAAAGAGGAGAATGAGAATCGATGATTTTCATTCCTAGAATGAGAATCGATGATTTTCATTCCTTTCCAAATTCTGCATATCCAGTCTGTCAAAAAGCAAACCCTCTTAGTTGGAAACAAACAAATGAGGAGCATGAGAATCGACGATTTTCATTCCTTTGCAAATTCTGTATATACAATCTGTCAAAGAGCAAACCCTCTTAGTTGGACCTATAACTAATTCTATCCTAGTCAGCATACATAAAAAATGTATTTCTATATTACATAAATTAATTTAACTAATTACAAAAGCAATTACAAAAGCACTGAGTAACTGCATTATTACAAGTTCTTTCTTTATCCTTACTTTGCATAGATTGATATTCAACAATTAAAACACACCCACACTTTTAAAAATAAAACATGGTCGTTTTCAAAACTTAACTAGGCTTAACATATATTTGTTCCTGCCATCAACCGTTGTGGCTAAATTTACAATGATAAAAGTGGACATATATTCAACAAACATACAAATAAGGGCTAATTTTATATTTATGTAACAATAATTTTGACTTTTAGTATCAGAACATTAATTTTGTAGCCAAATTAATACAACCGACCACTGTTACTATAAAATGAAATGAAAAAGTGAGCTGATAACTTGTCCCTTGATACACGTTAAGTGCTGAGCTTCAATTTTAAAATAAACACACTCTAAGGACATTCTAGTCTTTTTTTTAACTTGGTTTGCATTCCAAAGTTACTATTTGAAGAATATATACTTTTAATAATTCATTCTAAGTACTTGAACTGAGAATTTAATCTTAGTCTATTAATTTAGAAAATGCTTGGAAGAATATATACTTTTAATAATTCATTCTAAGTACTTGAACTGAGAATTTAATCTTAGTCTATTAATTTAGAAAATGCTTGGAAGAATATATACTTTTAATAATTCATTCTAAGTACTTGAACTGAGAATTTAATCTTAGTCTATTAATTTAGAAAATGCTTGGAAGAATATATACTTTTAATAATTCATTCTAAGTACTTGAACTGAGAATTTAATCTTAGTCTATTAATTTAGAAAATGCTTGGAATGTGTTGAACATGATATTAAATGGAAAAAGGGGAAATAATAAATTGGTCCTTGAGTTATAGTCAAATTAACACGTGAAGAACTCTGTTTTCAAAAACTAATCATGGAGTTCTTAACTTATGATTTCATTAACATGTTAGTCAATTTTCATCCAAAATAGCCTATTTTAACTGTCAATTAACTGAAAAAATTGGTTCCTAAATTATGGTCAAACTAACTACAAGGTCAGTAACTTATAATTTCCGTTAACAGTTTGGTTCTTCTCTTATTATTTTAACAATTTGGTTCCTTGTTTTTGAATAAAAATGATCAAAGTGTTAATAAAATCATAATTTAAGGACCCAATTTCAACCATAGAGGCTCTCATGTGTTAATTTGCCTCTAATTTAAGGACCAATTTATTATGTTTCCAATGAAAATAATTGATACTATTTTTTTAAAACTTAAAAATTATATTGATTAGGAAAAGTATAATTTTGGTTTGTTTACTTAAAAAGGACAAATTGAGTGTTTTCAAATTACTTTTAAGTCAAATTGAAGTCTTTTGGGATTTTATAAGAAGAAATATGTATAGAAACAGATTAAAAGAGTTCAATTAATAATAAGCTAGAAAAATGACTTAAGTGAAGGAAATTAAATGTTTAATTGGCATGTGTTGTGTGAAGAGAGATTTTTATTCCATCTTATGAAACAAATTGTTACAAGCCTATTTATACTTAGAACTAGGACTATGTGAAAATGCCTAGACTACCATTTACAATAAAGAATAAGCTCCTAAAACATATGCAAAACAATACTCCTGCATAGATATTACTCATACCCAATTTGTATACTAAGTTGTGAAAAATTTTACTCCACAGGTTGATTGTCAGAAATCACATAAGCAAACTTAAAGACGCCTGAGATGATTTTCTCTTTTATGAAGTATCTATCGATCTCTATTTCCCTTTTTTTTTTTTTTTTTTTTTTTCCTTTTTTTTTTTTTTTTTTTTTTTGAGTAAAAACTGAATAAATATTTTTTTTTTTTTTTTTTTTGAGTAAAAAACTGATAAATAGTCAATTTTTAGATTGAACTATTTTTTCCTCTAGACTTTAAGCCACCCAATTAAAGAACATTAGGCTGTTGAGTCTTAATTTTTTGAAAAACGTTATAACTTCTTTTTAAGTGGTTGAACGATTATTTACATAAAATGCACCTCTAATGGATATTTTTGAGTTTTAACTACAACTGTCTGAAATGACTTAGAGAGAATGTCACAATAACCTTTCAGAATGATTTATAGAGCTATTCCTTTGATTTTACTCTTCACCCTCTAGAAATTTGAGCCAACTTATTTGATTGTCTGCGATCTCTTATTATTATGAGATTTGTCGTAGTTTTGGGATTGAGAGTAAGTTGTTGAGGTATTAATTGAGAATAACAAAAATAAGAGTATGTGGACACCAGTTTATGACCATCATTGAACTGAAGAGTGACAACTGCTGCTAAGACACCCTTTTTTCACATAAGAAAGTATATTTTGTCAATAAGTAAAGAGAGAAATAATTGAGGTTAATTAATATATCATAATCTAAGGATACAAGAAGCATACATGCACATGTAAAACACACATCAAAAGGATACTACATATCTTAAAGAAACATTCAAGCTTTAGATGCATATCGACCCGCAATCACCATAGAGAGAAGAAGAGACAATGAAGCGAAAAAATAAAAAGGATTAATCCAGATGCTAGACTAGATAGATGCTCACTTTTGGTTACTTTCCGTGGGCTGCATTGTCTATTCATCAGCCATGGCCAGCTCCAATGCATAGTCATCTCTTTCCTGTAACATTCAAGCATTCAAGAGTAAGATAAACCTACAAAAAAAAAAAATGTAAACAAGTAATTGCTAGTCTCTTTCCCCTTTCTACACTACATCTCTGTTTCTGTCTTTCTCTACTTTTTCTTTTCCTTTCTATATTTTTATGAAATCCAGATCTTCATTTTAGAACTCAGAACTTACAATTGGTCCTCGGGCAAAATATCTTCCAAACTGAAGCCAATACACCTGTATACAGAAGAAGTTCATCATCATGCATCATTTGTAAAAGTAAATGGAGATTTCAGCTCCTAAATTTTTTATCTCTCTCTCTCTCGAGAGAGAGAGAGAGAGAGAGAGGACCACACATGAAAATCCATCAAATGTATCTAAATGATATAAGTTAATATATGAATATTATCTATTGAACATTTCTAATGTACATAGTATTCTCTCAAAGCAAAAGGTTGAAAGTGTGCAATGTACCTCATCCTCATCTTGTGTTTCAACTTCAAGATCAGAAGATGGGAAACCCACACAAAGAAGTGCATATCCCTGCATTACAAATTAAATAAATATGAATTCACAAAAATTTTAAAGAACAGGATGAAAGTATCATCGGCACAGAATTACAAATTCAATGCCAAGTTGAACCTCCCACAGAATCCAAACTAAGAGTTACATGGTAAGATAAGCTTAGGTTATTAACTTTCTCATGGATGAATATATAAATTCATCTCTGAACTTCGTTATTTTAATCTTATGACACCCTCAACTTTTATTTTGACCTATTAAACATTTCAACTTATAAAATTACACCTATTAAACACTTCAACTTATAAAATTACACCTATTAAACACTCCTATTACACTTCAACTATATAAAATTACACCTTATTAAACACTTCAACTTGCAAGAATTAATTTTATTGAACGCTTAACTTGTAAAATTAAATCTATTAAATAATTAATTCATAGTTGAAAATTATGAAATATTATGTTCCAAAAGTTATGGCTAACCCTCAACTTTTATTTTGACCTATTAAACATTTCAACTTATAAAATTACACCTATTAAACACTTCAACTTATAAAATTACACCTATTAAACACTTCAACTTGCAGAATTATTTTATTGAACGCTTCAACTTGTAAAATTAAATCTATTAAATAATTATTACATAGTTGAAAATTATGAATATTATTGTTCCAAAAGTTATGCTAACTATACATCAAATCGATATTTTGCATAAAAAGCTAAAAATCCTAAAACTATTACTATTAGTATGGAAAGGTATGCAATATTAACAAAATTTACAAATTCAAGCGCCCAATAGGTCATTTATGAAGTTCAAAATGCCACAAGGTTAAAATTGTAAAGTCAATGGGTGAATTTATGTATTTGGGCTTTTTCCCATTGAAAACACAAATACTTCATCAAGCAAAATCTTCATGAAAAGCAAGTAATATCAAAGAATGAAAGGGTTGGCACTAGAAATAAATTTGGTTGTATCCTTAAATTTCCATTTCTCAAGCAAAGATGTTACATTTCCATGATTCTTGAAGTCTCTTATTATTTGGTTGAATCTACAGTGAATTTCAATGTCTTTAGATTTTAGGTTCACCAGGGATGATCTCTCCTTCCTCCTTCCATCTTCTACCAAACTCCTTCCCGACATAAACCAACCCCCCTCATCTTGAATGTTTTGGAAATAAATGCATCAGAAAAGAATAGAAAGAATGAGAAACAGACAAACCAAGTTTTCCAGGATCATTTTCAGTATTGCAATTTGATAAAGCCAATGGAGACCTTTCTCAATGTTGCAGGACATTTATGGAGGCATTCACACCAATAGTTTTACCGGAAAACCAACAAAGAGGAAGATCAGAAAAAATGGCGACAAAATTTTAAGTTTTGATTCAGAATCCTAGGCCAGATTTTAGTGGGTGAACGGTGAGAGGAGCATCATCAGAGGGGAAGGAAAAGCAGCTGTCCACGTGACCAAATAACTGACAACAGCAACAGTACCAAGAGAGACATAAGTGGGGATGCTTAGCAAATGCGCAGACACAACATTGAAAAATTAAAAGTAAAATAAAAAATTAAATTTATTTCTTTTTCAGGAGAGCAACAAACATTATCTTTTGACAATTTCAGTCAACAGGCTAAAATTTTTAACACTTAATTATGTCTCAAATTTCAATTGAAAAAAAAAATTAAAAAGATTAACCAAAATTGAAAATGAAAGAAAAGGTTAGCATTCATTTTTTTAATTATTTAGACTTTTGTAACTCTCTTATCCATAAGGATGTAGACTCATTTGGGCCAAGGGGGAAATGGGGCCCCCAGGAATTTTGGGAAAAAATTGAGCAATTATTCCTAAAAAAACAAATCTCAGGAAAAAAAAAAAGCTACACCCTCCTTTAGCTGACTAACCCTTGTAATTTTGTCTCTTTCCTAATTATTAGTCTTCATAGCCGACTACCTCTCAATCTAACAATTGTTGGTTTCTCTCCTAATGTATTATAATTTATGGAGTTTAATAAATTAATTTTGGGTTATAATATTCAACTTAATTGCATATTGTATTTAACCTTTTAGTAAGCAAGTCATTGTTGAAGAACTTGAACTTAATATAGAAACATTCTTTCTAATCCAGGACGTACAACCTAACATAATGAGTAATTGTCCACCTGTTAGAGATCAGGTACATAGAGCTTACTTCTAAAAGATCCATGAGTTACAAATAATTTTTTAATAACTTACATTGAAAGAAATGTATGTGTAAGAATTAACAATGAAGTCAGTCAATGAAAAATAGCTTAGGATTATTATAATTTAATTATAACATTTTATTTTTGTTTTGAGGAATTCTCATAACTTACATTTATTTTATGCATGTTTTTTTTGTAAATTATATATTTTAATTGGGCTAAGTAAATTTTCTGGCTACATTACTGCTTATCCATCAAACAGAAACTTAGATTTTTAAAATAAATAATGGATGAACCTTTCATTTTTAACTATGATTCACACAGTTTACCAAAGTTAAACATCAATATCAAAAGAACTTTCAGAAATTGACCTTGTGCATCCAACACTATAAAATGTAAAATAGAGGTTAGCACTCATACCTTTGATTTCAATTCAGCAGATATCCCTAGTGCTTCTGGCTGTCTAAGTTGTCCAGATTTTACCCGCACAGCACAACTAGTGCAACAGCCTGCAAGCATAGAGCTCTTCATCAGGGACAATTTCAACCATTATTTTTCAGAAAACATATCTCAGAAACTAAAAGTAACAGATTAATAAGTTGATTCTCATGTCCTAAAGACTTGTTTAATACTCAGATTTATCCTGAATTCATGTTCGTGCCAGATGCGCATAAGTGTAAAAGCAACAAGCATGGGTGCCATCTCGCTGCTCTAAAGGAAGGCCCTTAACAAACAGAAGGCGATTGACCTGTGCCTCAAAGGCTATTGACCTCAGAAGTTTGCTTCTCCATCAACTGAGGCTGCAGTTAATTTAGGATGCTGGAAGTGTTTGTACCATAAAGACATACACTGGCAGAATTCATGGCAGAGCTCATTTTGACGAACTAGAAGTTCCGTAAGAACCTTCACTGGATGGTTACGATGATGGATCACAAAAGCAGCTCAAAAACAAGCATCAGTCCACCTTTTTAGTGAACTTGAATGAGAGGAAAGGTGAAAATCCATTTCAAAAATCTCATCAGAAACGAACTTTCTTTAACGAGGTAACTTAGCCCACAAAATCTACTTTCTTGATTAATCACTTCAAGAATCAATGTGAAAATGGAACTTTTAACACTCACCATAGCTTTTTGAAGGTAAATTGCGCAGATATGGCATAATTAGGCATAAACCTAAAATTATTACTATGAATTTTATCCACATATGCAACATGATCCCTGAATGACATTCTTGTGCAATCAAGTAGTTAAACATTAAATACTGAGAACATAAAACCACTGTTATCAATCAAGAACTCAACCAAATTGCTATTGATACTAAGAACGCCTATATTTTACTCAACGGGCAACAGCAAGCAACAACAGAAAGATGTGTGCGTTTATTGAGATCAAGTGCGAGGTTCTAAATTGAGTGAATCAGACAACAATACCGTGCCTGCAAGCGAATGGAAGTGAAATGTTCTGTGATTCAGCAGTATGCAGTATATACTGGTCCTGCATTTGAAAGGATTTTAATCAACAGCATAAGCAAATATTTATTAATACTCGGATTCACTCTTAAACTAAATTATGGCAGCAACAGCCAACATCATGATCGGGAGCAAGCTAACTGAAAAAACCTCAAAACAATTCAGATATATTTGGTGGTCAGTAATGCTTCTTAATAGAAAATAATGATATAGATTTCTTATTTTATTTCTCTACCACATTGTCCAGTTTAACAATTATTTTCTATTTATGATATAAATTAAAAGTTCTACATATATAATTTGTATTTTCTCCTACATTTCCCCAGGAACCAAACAGGAAAAGAAATCAGTACCTCAGGAACAAGAAACTCGTGACTGACTCCTCGTTGCCTATCATGAACAGTGACTTTATGTGTGGGAACTGCCGGAGAATAGTTCCCGACTTGGCTAGTTACTCCCACCGACGTCTGGAGATCCGAAGTCGCTTTGAGGCGGTATTTTGGAGAAGTAGAGCTATAAGTAGCGCGATAAGAAGATAAAATTGGCCGGAGACTCGCCGGTTTCCAGTAGTGTGAGGTGCAGAAGCTGCGACAGACGACAAGGTCCATGTTTGGACGTCTCTCTTTCTTTCAATTAATCTTTTTCATGTTATAAACGGATAAAACTTAAATAGAAGAAGGCCAATCGAAAATCGGTTTGCCCTCCCGTGTTGATGTACCTATATCTATATCTATTTATCTCTCATGTATAAGTTGAATCGTATTAGATTACGTGGCAAATATTAAGAAATTTAGGTATTTAGTTAGCTTTTTATTATTTTTAAGTTTATTTTTATCTTTTATTTTTATTTTATCATCTAATTAGCTGTCTTCCATGCTCCGCACAGCTGTGTATATTTTTTCCGAGAGATAAAAAATAAATCTAAAAAGAGAAAATAAGAATATGAATCATAATATTCAAGAGCTGGAAAACTCATAAAAAATATTAAAAGGCATCATTTTCAAAATCATAAAAGCTTTAAAATCTATAAATCATTCTAAGAAAGAACACCAAAAGTCATTATGTTTGAAGGTCATAGAACTCATAAATTAGAGATAAGTAATTTATGAAGAGCTATTCTGTTTAAAATTCATAAAAATCATAAGAGAATATTAAGAGTTATTTTTTATTTAAAGTTATAAAGTTCATAAATTGGAGAATAATTTTTAAAGAGATATTATGTTTAACATCCATCAATCAGAGAGATAAGGAAGACATTTTCTCTTCAAAGTCTTCAATTTTTCCTGACTAAACTAATACCAAATGCCCAAATTTTAGAGATTTTCACTCTTCAAATGAAGCATTGGCTGAATAGTTTTTTTTTTTTATAAAATAAAAAAAATAAATTTGAGAAGAGAAAACAATAGTAAGAATATGAACAACAATATTGAAGAGCTTAAGAACTCATAAAAAAAAAATACTAAAAGCCATTATTTTTAAAGTCATAATTTTTTAAGTTGTAAAATTCATAAATCATAATAAAAAAAGAACACCAAAAGTCATTGTGTTTAAAAGTCATAGAATTGAAGAGCTATTATATTTAAAATCATAAAAACTATAAGAGAACATCGAGAGCCATTGTGTTTAAAAGCCATAAAGGTGATAAATTAGAGAGTAATTTTTAAAGAGCTATTATGTTTGATATGCATAAATCAGAAGTTACATGTACTTAGCAAATTAAATGGTTAGATCATGTCATAACTGCATTCTTGTTAATTTAAAATGTAAGCTTTTATCTTTATCATGATTTAGGTAATATAGTTAGAATATGTAGATATTGTGAGGTTCTTAAATTTGTAGAATCTCTTTTTTCTTATATAAATTAAAAAAAGTTTAATTGTATACAAGAATAAAAAAATTTTACATAGGATGTTAAATACAAGCAAGGTTAAGCATAGATTAGAAAGTTGAATCACAGAACCAATTAGTTTTATTCATTTTATTTTGATTCAAGTTGCTAATTCGTTTTGGTTTGATTTTAAGTAATGGTAAAACAACAAGAGCTTTAGTGTATATGTTAGCAAGTTGGTTATGAGTGACATCAACAGCAAATGAATTAAACCAGATTGAAGCTTCATTCTAATCAAATGGCAATCCAGATCAATATGCTTAATTCTTCCATGAAAGGAGAGATTTTTGGCTATATGAATTGCTGAATTATTATCAGAATATAAGCTGCCAAGCAAAGGATGAGAAATCTTAAGATCCTATAGGAAATATTTGAGCTGTTGTGATTCATAAGTTGTGGTTGCTAATGCTCTATATTTTACTTCAAAAGAAGATCTTGAGATAGTTGTTTGCTTCTTAGACTTCCAACTAATAATAGAGTGGCCAATGTTAATGTAACACTCATTGTCCAGTACTGGAGGATTAGGTAGCGGATGCCGCAATTTGTGCTAGAGGCACAGATCTAAACATACTAATGTCATAACTTAATCTAATATACATCATGCAATCTTATAAGTCAATAATTATATAATCTTTAAAATATGACATAGAAAATTTTTCGAAAAATCCTACCGAAAACTTGTACTCTTGATAACTAGACATTTCTATATTTCAAACCTCATGACTCATACATTCACACTCCAATATCATCATAAGATTATATAGCATATATTATCATTTTATCCTTTAATATATAAACCATGCTATGACATAATTTTCCCAAAATCCATAATCATATTGCGAGCATTCATCATAAATATATTAAATCACTTCATACACATTCAATAATCAACTATACGTATTTATATTCCAACAAATACAAATATTTCATCGATCAATATAAATAACTCCATACATGCCATAATTGCTAGAACACAAAACTAGCATAAATACAATAATGTCAATACTATCTGATAAATCTTCAACTTAGATACTATAGCTTCCTCTACTCGGCACATCTACCCAATATCTAGGTGTGATAAACTCAATGAGTTAAGCTTAAAGTTTAGTGGTGCTTCATATCCCTAAATAACATATGAAAGATTATCACACTAACAATAAAAATATATAATAATATAATCCATACAAGGAAAAAATTCAACCATTCAAGAGTGGTCATACGTCATATCCATTATAAGATGATTTCTAAACATCAATACATCGTAATGTATTAGGAAAGACATGGAAGAATATATATAATTCATACTAGCATTTTCATCATGCTTTCATATTTATAGCATATGGATTTATATCTTATTTAATCATATTCACATCCTATTCACATAATCATATTATTTCAAGTATTTAGATCATCAATTCACATATCTTAGTATTTTCTTAAAACATAAATTTTATTCTTAATATTTACTAATGCCTCAATAGTCAATGTAATATGGTTCTTTATTCATACCACATAGTCATTCAACATTTGTACAACAATATGCATCTATTTCATATTACTTTAGTGCCTAATAATCAATTAAATACTATTCATAATTCTTCGATAAATATTTCTTACAACACGCTAAGAAAATCATAAATAAAAGCAATTATAATTCATTTGCTCCATTTAAGCATATTCTCAAGTAACTATATTATTTTATGTTTTAATTATCATAAACATAGTCCTTATTTATTTTCATGGTATTTCACATAAGCAAGTATAATTCATAAATCAAAGCATTTCTTAAATTTAAGTATTACTATAGACATTTAAATTTTGCCCAGCACTATGACTCGGTGATGATAACATTTTTTATCATAAAATATGTTTTAAATGTCTCAAGGACTTGATTCTTGGACCAATGATCCGAGATCAAGAAAAGTGAGCTGTCAAACCCTTTTTATGTTTTCGGATTTCCAAGGTTTTGCATCAAAACAGAGCCTGGGAAGCACATCTGGTGCGCTCGCGATGTGTCCCAATGCAATGCCTCGTTTTGCATGCCACTTGGACTATTTTTGTAAAATTTGGCTTCCCATCAGTGGCTCGTGCCACCTAATCACCTTTTGCCTATAAATAGGCCAAAGGTCCAAAAGTTTAAGTGATTGATTTTTGGTTACTTATAAAAACCCTTGAAAAATATTTTCTCATCTTCTATTGATTTAATGTATAACAAGTGTTATAGTTGGATCAAAGAGATTATTCACTTCTCTAAAAAACTTCATTGATTTTTCATAATCAATCATCAACAAACACAAACTTAATTTCTGAATCTCGAATTATTGTTTAAGAATCAAAGTTCTTGAGTGTTCTTGAGCATTTTTATGAAATTGTTTGAGATATCATCAAAATAAGATAACATTTGAGAGTCTTTACTCATTTACTTCTTCTATTCACTTCTTTGGTGATTAAAATCACTTGCTTCATCTTGGTTATGAGGGAAACCTGTGATCAACCAAAATGTTTTGTATGTGTGTGTGTGTAGTAACGCACACCGTATGTTGTGGTGCATGCCACTACTCTATCAGCCAAATAGTACTTCTAAGCTAATTTTTGGGCTTTGGTCTGGAAAACCCGCACACCACAAGAGATATGGCGCATGCCATAACATGTGGCGCACATGGCTTCAATCCAGAGTCCCAAATACTAACTTTTATGTGCTTTAACCCAATCCTTTGGGTCTTTTTTGGTCTAATATTAAGCATTAATGCTTCTAATGGTGTTCTAGACCTATTTTCGCCTTAATATATAATAATAAAGTTTTGGGTTGTGATGGTCATATTTATTCATCATTCCTGATGAACATTAAATTCTTGAACTCAATTCCTTGTTTTAATCTTAATCTAACTCTTTTACTTTACCGTCTTTAATATTATTGCATTTTAAATTCTTACAATTTAAATTATATGCACCTTTAATTTTTGTTCTTTATTTATGCTTTAACTAACCTCTAACCTCTAATCTTATTAAAGCATTATAATGCTTTTTGTTGTTTAATCATTTACTTCTTATGATTTTATTCAATTATTTATTGTTGCTGTGATTTTGTGTTATTGTGCCATAATTGGTTACTATTATGTTGTTCATGTATGGTGAGGACGTATGGTTTTCCTAAATGATTGTATTTGGAAAGAACCGTATCGAATGGGCTTCATTGATTTTATTTATCAAAATGGTTTTCTTTTATTAAACCTGTTTAATCCTTGAAAAAGGTTCTTTTACTTTGGTAAGAGTTTTATCCACGACTATATCCATTTCTGATGTGGTTGATACTTTTCCCTCAGACTTGTATTGCTCTTGGCTGCAGGCTTATTCCGGAGTTGGTGCTGATTTAGAGTGGCTAATCTGTTGACAGCTAGATTTCTGTTAGGACCGTATCGAATGGGCTTTCATTGATTTTAATTTATCAAATGGTTTCTTTTATAAACCTGTTTTAATCCTTGAAACAAAAAAAAGGTTCTTTTACTTTGGTAAAAGGAAGTTTTTAATCCACGACTATAATCCATTTCTCTGATGTGGTTTGATACTTTTCCCTCAGACTTGTATTGCTCTTGCTGGCCCAGGCTTATCCGGAGTTGGTGCTGATTTTAGAGTGGCTAATCTGTTGACAGCTAGATTTTCTGTTAAGGACCCGCGGCATGTAGATGCTTTTTCTTGCTTTATGAATGTACTAGAGCAATTATTGATAGTGCAATTATATGGAATATAATGCACTTAATTATGATGAAATGTTTTTTTTGCTTGAAAAATGCCTTGATTGCAATTATATGAATATATGCACTTATTATGAATGAATG